CAGTTTATTTATAGTTCAATGATCTAACCATTGAACTATAAATAAACTGGAAGGCTAACTGCTATGATGAAGGCCTATGATTTGATGAAGCCAAAATAGTTTTTCTGAGTTATGAGCAGAAATACTTGACCCCAAACGTTCGGCTATATATCAAAATAAAGCTATTGAAAATTTCTATACCAAATAGCATTTTTCAATAGCTTCAATTTGATATATAGCCCAACGTTCAGTGTTGAGTATTTCTGCTCATAACTCAGAAAAACTAAAATGCACTGGCTTCAATTTCCCCCCCTGAGTTAGCCTTCCAGTTTATTTATAGTTCAATGGATCTAACCCTGTCCCCAGGCCTAACCCGAACTTTTACGACGAATCTTCGGTGTGACGTCACTAGATCATGGGTTCACAATTCTTGTAGAAAATCCTCGTCAAGTAATGGGGTAAAGTCTTCCACAAGTTTAACAACCAAGAAATCTTCGTCAAATATTACGTCTAATGATATTGGCGTCAAGTCGAAAAGTGAATCAAGGTATAGTGATCACATCATTGTTACTAGTGAAACTTGTATCTTTAAATTTGTAACTTTAAATCAGGAACAGTGATATGTCGCACTAAATTACATTATGTGTTCAGTTATGTATGGCTTGAATTTATTTTGAAACATAACATTTAAATTTCCATGTGATGTTGACAGAGATGTTAGGAAGATTAAGTTTCACGTTTGAGGGCAAATGGCACCATATTATGTTTAAAAACATTGAAGCATTTTTTTCATACAATCTTGATATATAAGTATTTGAAACATATCGTGTTCTTTAACTAAACTAATAGTGATAAATTCTAGTATTTTTGTGACGAATTTCATAGACCGCGAGCAGTCCCTCGGAAAGGAGGGATCGCTTGCAGTCTACGGATTTCAAACCTGGATAAACTTTTTAACTTTTAGATTGAAAATAATATCCCTTAAGCATTTGTAATCCTTTCATTGCAGTAAATCAAATTCTAACTCTACAAAGTCCAAGGAATCAAAAGAAAGCGATCGTGAAAAACAAAATGCAAAAGAAAGTGATAAAAGTAGGAACCACGATAAGCCGGAAAAATCAAAGCGACCGTCTCCGAACGAAACCGACTCACCCCGAGATGATTACGATAAGGGTAGGTACCTCTCAGCTATACAGGGTGTATAAAAAAAAACTGCACAGATTTGAAATTGCTCTTAAATTCGCAAAACAGCTATTAGTATCCAGTTTTTGATGTATATAGCTTCTTTGGGTACTTATAATGTAGAAAAATGGAAAACATTTCTCGAACTCAAATTTTGTAAACCAGGGGGGGGGTCTTTTCCAACAAACTAAAAATGGCTTGCGCACGAAATTTAAAAGCTTTAATCATATTTTGAGTTGATAGATGGAACATTTGTTGGGTTTTTAATTACTGTACAAAATTTCAGACAATTTACTTTAGTTTAAGCCTTTAACTATTTATTTTTCTCTAAAAAATTAGCCTTTTAAATTTCGTGCGCAAACCATTTTTAGTTTGTTGGAAAAGACACACACCCCTGGTTCACAAAATTTGAGTTCGAGAAAGTTTTTCCATTTTTCTACATTATAAGTACCCAAAGAAGCTATATACATCAAAAACTGGATACTGATAGCTGTTTTGCGAATTTAAGAGCAAATTTCAAATCTGTGTTTTTTTATACACCCTGTATATAGCAATTGTTCGAATAATTGTTTTATTCACCGAAAATTATCCGAAATTTAGTAAAAGGTGGTACTCATTCAGCGAATTTTCGCGAGAAAACCACCATGACATAGTTTTTTATTCAGGGTGTCCATGGATCTTGAAAATCCTGGAAAATCCTTGAATTGGAAAAAAAAATTCCAGGACTGGAAAGTCCTTGAAAATCAGTAGACGTCCTTGAAAGTCCTGGAATTAATTTCCTTAACCTCCAGCTGTGCCAACGTTAATGATTTTGATTAAAATTAGTGAATAGAGTGAATTATTTACGGCAAATCCGTGCCATTTTCAAAGATTTTTTTCCAGTTCTAGGTCCTTGAATTTACTGAAAAGGGGCCTTGAAAGTCCTGGAAAAGTCCTTGAATTTGAAGGGTGGACACCATGGATCCATTTTTGGATAGTTTTTATGTTTTGCCCATTCATTACAGATTTTTATAAGTCATGTTAAGTAGGATGATCCGTTCGACTAGTGATGCGCATGTCTTGACAGATTACCGTTTATTGTATAAATCGAGCCAATCATTTTGTTTTGGTTGTGATGTTTTCTTGTTCTTGATGTAGGAACCATGAAAGCGTTCATAGGATTTGCATCACAATCATTGAAATGGTGGCAACCCAAATCCCCCTACCCGCGCCCATTTATTTTTATATTTATATTTGTTTAAAAATCTTTTGACATGGTATTAGGCCGTGTGTATACACTAATAGAAAGACAAAATTGTTATTTGGTTGTGATGTTTACTTTTACTGTGTCTTTGTAGAATCGAAGAGACGGAAAGTGGACAAAAGCGACAGTCATATATCCTCGCCTGCATCTTCAAAGGTTATAATTTTTGTTAGTTTGTAAATTTATGTTTAACAGAAAAGATCGGAATTTTCTTGCCATCGAGAAACTAGAATCTAAAATTTGAAATTCCCAAATTTATTTCCAGGAAAGTACACCAATAGATGGCTCTTCATCCAAGGTGGGATACATATATATCTTCGCTGTATATGATAATTAACTTCGTCATATATTTTAGTTATTACACTCTGCTTTCCATGACTATATTGTTTGGTTTGTGATATTAAGCCCCGTTTACAGTACGCTCAATTTTTGGTACGGCATGGATAAAATTGATACCCGTGCCACTTTTTTGGTTCTTGGACTACCTATTTAGCTAGAGCCCCGTTTACACTACGCTCATTTTTGGTACCGTACCACTTTTTGGTTCTTGGACTACCTAAATAGGTAGTCCAAGAACCAAAAAAGTGGTACGAGTACCAATTTTATCCGTGCCGTACCAAAAATTGAGCGTAGTTTAAACGAGGCTTAAATGTAATGTTCTTTTACCACAGAGTCGTGAAGAGCGATCAAAGAGTAAGGAAAGAGACAGAGAAAAGGAGAAAAGTCATAAGTCTGATCGCAAAAGAGTAAGTTTGGAACAATTCAAATTTTAGTGACCCAACTCAATCTGATAACAGCTGAATATATTTACATAAATATATAAGAGAAGGAAAACTGGTAAAACGGCCTCTTCTAATATCTGAAAGCATTTAGATGGTAGCTGAACAACGGTGTAAGAAAACTGTAATAATAAATTTTAAAACCATGAAAGCGTTCATAGGATTCGCATCACAATGATTGAAATGGTGGCAACCCAAATTCTCCTACCCGCCCATTTCTATATTTATTTATTTAAAAATCTTTTGACATGGTATTAGGCCGTGTGTAAACACTAATAGAAAGACAAAATTGTTATATCTTACATGTATGCCCTGTCAATTTCAGGGAGCAAATACAACCCCAGCGGAGCCATCTCGAACCCAATTCCACTCCACGTTAAGAGTTAGATTTGGTCCAAATCAACCCCGCTGGGAGTCGAATCAAATCAAGTTTTGAAGGATTTGTAAGAAATGTTTGAGCTAGGGAACTGATTCAATGTTTAACACCGAGTTAGTTCTTTCAAACATTTCAAACAAATCGTTCAAAACTTAGAATCTACCTATGCAAGATTCCTACTGTGATCACAGAAGCTCAGATAGTGTAAACCTGCCTTTAGACAGAGTAAAATAATAAAGTAGAACGCAATGCAGCGCAATGGGTTAAAACAAAAACTATTTCAATCTTTTCTGTCCAGACGTCCGATATTGTTGAAGTCAAAGAAGTAAAAAGACGGAAAGAAGATGATGACGCAAGTAAGTCAATGGTGGCAGCCATTTTACTTGTTTTCGAACGATATCATTTACTAGTTCCAATAGTTCCAACGCAGTTCAGAGTTTTACTTTCAGTGTAGCAGTAGAAGACAAAACAGTTGACTCTGGGCGTATTAAATGCTCTGTGTTTGAGACTGATAAAACGTGTATGTTTAATTTAGGTCCATTGAGAAAGTCGGTGGATGAAAAACCGAAAGAAAAAGAGAAACAAGAGGTAAAATGAGTCCTGTTTTCGCTCGCTATTCTAGTGTTAGTAAATGAATGCAAAGCCCGGTTGAATTGCATTCATTACCCAAAGTTTCGACACTCCAGTCTACATGCAGTGTCTTCATCAGGGCATTCAGGGGTGATCTGAAGTCCCAACGTCGCTTCTTAATATACTCGAAGGATGACGTAAGCTACCGTTGCAGATAGTGATTTACCGATATGGAAATTTACTGATATTCCGATAACAGATATTCAAGGGCCGATATTGGCCTATACTGGTTTCTATTTTACTTCGAAATTCACAAATGACAATTGGACTTATACTGTAGAAACTTCATCTAAACTATTGAGAGTGGCCAATCATGCATTAACACTTATTATACATGTATATACATTGATAACATCTTTCTCAATATCGCTATATACTGCATTTATATTGATACATCCGTGTCATTGAGTAGCCTGAATTTCAGACGGTTGAGTGACCGTCTGAAAGTCAGGCTATAGTCACTGAGCTGTGTTACAACCAAATTGGAATCCAAAATATGCTTTAGTATATACCATGATGCTCCATACGCATGTCTTAGTGTACGGACTACAAGATATATGCCTCGGTTTAAATTCATTCGTCACGAAAATAGTTTCGACGCGGTCACTTTTTGTCATGACTTTGAACAGTTGCATCTGATTATTGTGTATTCAACTAACGATCCTGATACGCAAGTAGAGATTTTAACTAACCTGATCTGCGAGTGTCTCGAGCGTCACGCACCACTAAGAAGGACAAAAATATCACCACCTCCAGCACCATGGCTAAAGGATCCACATGTTGCGTAACTTTTGTGCAAAAATTCTTTAGTCGATGTTTTATATCAGTAAGATACTTTTTGTTTCCAAAAATACGGGAATCGTGAATTTTCCAATTTTTTAAAAACTGTATTGAGCCACATTAATCCTTCATAGGAAAAGGCGAAAACCACAATCATCAAGTTATCTCGAAATGAAGATGGCGTGAAGAAAGAACGAGAAAAAACTAAAGATAAGGAGAAGGAGAAATATAAAGATAAAACCAAAGTGAGTGAGACTTTATTTGCACTTGTGATGTTTCTTTGGTAAGAAAGTAGAGCATTGCATGCATTCTTGATGGATGAAACTATTTTCATAGCCTCAATGTGCAGCAGGGATAGATTTACCGGGGTACCAGTTTCCTTATCAAATCCTTTCCTTGCATGGAAAGGCAGTTACTACACAAACAAAAATAAAATAGAGACAGAATAAAATAGCAACATGATTGTTAAATTGTCAAACAGGGCTACAGGCTTGCTGCCCTGATTACGCACTTGGACCCTGAACCATGGTCAAAGCTCGATGAGCACCCTCCTACCAGATCTGGCTTCTGCATGACTTGATCCATCCATGGTTTGCGGTTTGGGTATAGATTAAGACTTAAAATCGTTGCTACGTAGGTGAAAGACAAAGATAAGGACAAGGAAAAGGAGAAGGACAAAGATAAAGAAAAGGATAAAGAAAAAGATAAAGACAAGGAAAAGAAAAAGAAATCAGAAGAGAAATCGTCAAGTGGCAAGGTATAAAAATGTAGATTCTAAGGCAAGAGTGAAGAAGGCTTCTTGGTATTTAGATTGAAGAAAGTTGGATACAGCTTAGTAGAGGTGTGCAAATCCGATCCGAATCCGATCCGTTCGGATTTCGGAACCAAAATATTCATTCGGATTGGATCGGATTGATAAAGTTGTTTCGTAGTCGGATCGGATCGGACTTCGATATCCGAAATAAAATGAATTAATTATCCACGCATTATTGCAAGAACTAATTATCCATGCATTTATCAAAGTATCATCGCGGTTGTCGCTGCATTATTCGTTTGATACTTCAAATGGACGTCACTTTGTCAGCTTCTTGACATGTATTTCTTGCTTTTATATTTATTTGGTTAAACTATTTCAACTTGAATGAGAAATTTATTTTATTAAAGAATTCTTCGGATCGGATCGGATTGGAATTCTTTTTCAAAACTCGGATCGGATTCGGATTAGACAATTTCGGATCGGATTTTAAACATTAGGCAATTGTCGGATTATATAAACGTACAATCCGATCCGATGCACACTTCTACAGCTTAGGCGTATTACATACAACTTAGGAAGCATGTGTGTATGTAGCTCATGTAATTTCCCCGACCCCCGCTAGTAACTCCAGACAAAGGACCTTCGCTCGAAACGTCGAAATTCTTATATTTTTCAGGTAGTTGTATCCCTACCAACGAAAGTTTCATATTATTGGCACTACCCATTGAACTATAAATAAACTGGAAGGCTAACTCAGGGGGGGGGAATTGAAGCCAGTGCATTTTAGTTTTTCTGAGTTATGAGCAGAAATACTCAACACTGAACGTTGGGCTATATATCAAATTGAAGCTATTGAAAAACGCTATTTGGTGTAGAAATTCCAAGACTTTAGCTAAAAGGGAAATATTGAAAAACTACAAACATAATTACCGATAATTTGCCGTTTTGCAGTTGTTTTTGTATTTTTTAAATATTTTTCTTTTCGCTGAAGTCTTGAAATTTCCACACCGAATAGCAATTTTCAATAGCTTCAATTTGATATATAGCCGGACGTTTAGGGTCAAGTATTTCTGCTCATAACTCAGAAAAACTATTTTGGCTTCATCAAATCATAGGCCTTCATCATAGCAGTTAGCCTTCCAGTTTATTTATAGTTCAATGGCACTACCTACACTGGCACAGACAGTTCAGCGGTATTACCATTTGTGTGCCTAAATAATTTACTCTCGTTTTTAGAAGGAATCTAAGAGTAAAGATAAAGAAAAAGACAAAGAAACAAAAGATGAAGAAAAGTCGCAAAAGAAACAGTATCCTTTCTTTACTGAGTGAAAAACTGATCTATTCTTAGGTTATCTTTCATGAAATATTAAAAAAATACAATTATTAGCTGAAATAGAGTCAGTGTAATGTAATGTTCATAAAATCATGTCTAAATCAACGTGTTAGCAACAGGAAATTGATCAACTGCCTGCTCCATTTACTGTTTGAAGTACTCCAGATTTTCGAACACCAATTGAATCGAACAGAAAACGGTCACACGGTTGTTTTGACTGTTCTGGCTGCCCCTATACTTTTGAGTAGGCCGTAGGGGCAGCCAAAACAGTCATGTGACCGTTTTCTGTTTGATTCTTTTAGTGTTCGAAAATCCGGAGTACTTCAAACAGTAAATGGCGCAGCCTGCAAAAGATACCGAATCATTCCAAACTTGTTAAAAAAGTCTGATAGAGTGACTTCATATCAGGCAATATATGTACCGGAGGTTGCTGTTATACCTCATTTGAAACTGTATAATTCTTCATATGCCCAAACTGGGTTATAAAGTTTGTTCTACAATATTTCCTTGATTACCACTATTTAGACATTCACATTCAGAGTCAAGGAGAAGCAGATGACATGCAGGTGTTGAATTCTATCCGATCTAGAAATAACTTCAAATTTCCGAATCCTCTTGTCGAAATGAAATTGAATATTCTGGACCTGATGCTACTGTGAATGGCGAGTATTGAGCTGACGTTATATTGTCAAGCTTGATACTAAATAATAATTGTAGCGTTTCCTGGTCAACTGTTGTCTTGGTAACACATCCGCAGATTGTGAGTTTGGGAACTTGCAAATCGAAAATTATCGAGATAATGATCGAAAAGACTATGAACATACGACATCGAGGTTGAACGTTATTTATTACTGACTTTAGTCAGCAGACAACGTGTGCATGATTTGTAGATAGAAACTTATCTTAACAGCAACCTAGCAGGATATCTTTTATACGAAAGCGTGTTTTGTACTGTACACATTTTACCTTCCAAATATATTCTGGAGTTTTAATCACACACTTAACAAAGTCTTTTTATACCTTAAATAATATATTTCATTTTTAATGCTTTTGTATTTCAATTCCGGTGAAGCGAGGGCAAATACATCATCACAATAAAAAATTGTCGTAAAGTGTGAATATACATAAAAGAAGTGTGTATTGTGTATTGTAGCTTCGTCGTGTGAATATTTTAAAATGTTCATGTATAGATATATATATTAACACATTTTATGGGTTTGGTGTTTCATTGCAATATATGTTGAATAGCTCACATTCAGTAAAAGCTTTGTAAAGCTCAAATTTTGTGTTTAGCAAGTTGTACCACAATTCAATATGGAAGTGATAGTTCGTGGTAAGTGCAATTTTAATACATTTCAGGTTTGACGTGTATAAGGGCCCGTTTACACTTGCAATTATTTCTGCGATTTCTAGTGCGACTTTCTCTTTCTGTGTATGTGAATGAGTAGATAAGTTATGAATGTTCTGAGTGACCTGAGCATACTTCGTGCCTTTATCTGAACATTGTGAACTCATCGATCAGAAGAAGAAAATCACAGCAAGAATTGCAAGTTTAAATGAACCTTTAGAGTCAACAGTAAGTTTGTTGTAGTAAGTATAAGACTTCAGATGTGCACAACTCGAGTATAATGAGTTACCTTCAGATGTGACTTGGGAACGACAGCGTTCATACGGCCTACTTTATTCGCTGAACTTATTTAAAGACATTTTTAATTGAGAACATTCAATAATTTAATTAGACATGTACAAGTATATGCCGTCGGAATCAGTCTCTATAGGCTCGTAGTACAGCAAAACCCTCTTGTTGTTCTTCGCTTCTCGTCGTGCCAAATTCATTTGCCGGAATTTATAATTCAGACGTACTGATCTTTCCACATTTTATGTTCACACGAGGTAAGTTTCGATGTCAAACCTAATTGACGCAAAATCACCAAAGATTTTAGCCAAGTGTTGAAATGAGGCCAACTACTATAGAGTTGTACCCTTTGTCCACATATTAGACCCGGTTAGAGGTGAGGTCGGAACGACGAGAGTGGGTGGTTATTTGCTTAATATAACTGGATTGGCTCATACTAAAACCCTGAAAGGCCTTGCTATACCGTAAACCTCCGAATATAAGGAGGTGCTTATATTCGGAATGGCCTGAGCGTTAGCGAATGTGGTTGGTTTATACACCAGGGGGGGGGGGGCTTATATTCGGGTGGACTTATAATTGATATAAAGAAAAATTGATTTGACATTTGTCTTTAACAAAAACATTTTCTTCTGCTTAGACCAGGCAAGACGTCGTCAATTTTGGTGGCCAAGGGAGTTTGAACAAACTATGAAATTACCATTATCAAAAAGCGGAAGGTATACACAATCTAAAGACATCTATGGTGCAGTTAGTACCACGCACGATGCCATGTCGTACCCTAAAACACGATTATGTCACATGGTCATTTGAAGGAGTGCTTTATATTGGAAATTGAGTTAGCCGAACACAGTATAGGGCAGCTTAAAAGAGAGGGGGCTCAATAAATTGATTTCTTTGTTTGAAAGGAGGGTATACCATATATGTATAAAGAGAGAAATTATTTTCAGGATTTATCTCACCAGTGAATATATGTATGATCTGCATGCAATATGTTTTCCCGCTTCAAGCGTCATAGTTCTTTACATAAATTTCATAATTTGCAACTACAAAAACCCTCCAACAATAAGTATATACCTGTAATCTGTATCTGAAAGTGTTAATGTTAATTTAGACGTCGACGATTATTTTGTCGAAATGGTGTATATCTTCGTGTTACTGCAGATAAACGTGTGGCTGGCACAACCAATCCATTTGATCCAACAGGTAGGAAACGTCATACAGCTGAGATCCCTTTAAACGTGCTTACGTCACGTAATTTTTAATACAGGGGACTTATGGAATGCGCAGTGCATTGTGGGACTAAAATAAAGTATTTTATTTCCACTAGTCGTATTCGACATTATACCAGCTGGACCAAACTGTGTAAAAATACAAAATGTCAAAAGTGGATTGTATATTGCCATTGATCAAAATGGGGATATTATGACCAAGGTACAGGATAATTTTTTAGGGGGGAAGTCGCCGAAAAAATTGCGGAAAAATTTTTTTCCTCCGAAATTTTTTTGGCGACGGGGGTGGGGGGGGGTCGCCGAAAAAATTTAGCCCCCCCAGAACAAAATCTGTTCCGCCGCCCCTGCTGCACAATATATTAATAAACGTAAACAGCTTTTCATGTTTGCCTGTTTCAGCATGATATTTATTTTATTCTTATAGTCACATGCTGACATCGAGTGTGTATTTGAAGAGACGAACAACAACAATTTTTATGATATCTACAAACGACCAAGAAACGTAGGACCTCCGTTTGTGTTAGGTCTTCGAAAGGATGGTGAAGCCGAGTCTACTCTGTATCGAGGCAAGAAACAAGCTAAATTTAGTGAATTTTGTTTCATTACTCAACTTATCTATAATCATGCTTATTCTGCAGAGAGAGCACAAAAAATCAGTACAGAAGTTCCGTCTTCTGATCAAACTGATAGTCATCATATTTATAGCACGACAAGAAAATGCGTGGTTGCCAGGGTAACAAGACAGGAACCTGTACAGACACGTAAACTACGAGCAGCACATTATTATACTAAGAAACAATAATGACTCTGCATGGTTTTGTTGAAGATGCATACTTCATTATTCGGTATAAATTGTGTTGTTTATTAAAGTGGTTTATGGTCTCGCGATCTTCTGTCTATGGAGTTTAAATTTTGATCCTATTCTAGCTTTGCCATTGGTCTTTATCTGGGCAGCTAAAGCTCTGGCTCGTATCATAAGATATTTTAGCGAGCTTTCTACCTCCACAGGCGTCTCTTGCCTGTGTGGAGGTAGGCGAACTTTATCGAGTAAGTGTTAGCAAAGCGACGCCAAACACTAGATATATTCATATATAGGTAATAAATAGTACATATAGACATACATACATACATACATACATACATACATACATACATACATACATACATACATACATACATACATACATACATACATACATACATACATACATACATACATACATACATACATACATACATACATACACGCATACATACATACATACACGCATACATACATACATACATATATTATTCGAATTCAGCTCACTTAGCTCCCCAACGGGACTTTTCAGTGACCGATTACATCAAGTATTACGCTTGTTTAACCTACTTAAGGCGGATTTCCAGTCCTCGCACGAAGCTCCTCGCAGCTCGCTGCGAGTGCTTGCATCTAATTAAAATTAACTGTTTAGCATTGTGATTGAATGAAAGTGCTCATGCATGCACTCGCAGCGAGCTGCGAGGAGCTTCGTGCGAGGACTGGAAATCCACCTTTAGCCTACACGGCAAAAAACGCCGAGCCCGCTGCTCAACAGGATTGAACAATGTTTTACTGCCCACGTTGTTCACACTTGTCAACAATATTGAACAATATTGTTGAGCCCGAATCGGGTGTAACAACATTGTTCAGTATTGTTGACAATTGTGAACAATGTGGGCAGCAAAGCATTGTTCAATCCTGTTTTCATCAATATTGCATCAACCTGAGCGTTTTTACGCGTGTAGACTAATCAACTATGTTTCTCGGCCAGCACAAAGAGAACCCTGGGTACGAGGTTGACTATGTTTATCCTAACCCACCCTGTCAACTTTCCCTGTGGGAGGAAACCGGAGCGCCCGGAGAAAGCCCACGACTTTCGGCAGAGCGCCGACTGAATGTTTTCACATGAGTCCCAAGCGAGAATCGAACCCACGATCTCCGAGGTGAAATACGCTTGCTCTGACGACTGCGCCACCGAAGGCATAAACGTTCGGTCTCGAACCCCCCCCCCCCCACTAAACATACGTCAGCAGATGGGTTCGAGATTGAACGCACCTCCTCGTAGCCAATATGACAACCGCTAATACGCTAGGTATGAGATAATAATTTGTACCCTGGGCAGTACATTTGGCTAGCGGGGTCGTAGATGCATCTGCAGTTAGTACTATACAATAGAAAGGAGGGAGTTTAAGCTACAATTAGGGAGTTTAAGCTCCACGTTTCCGGGAACGGCAAACGACAGGTTAAAAATTTCTTGGCAAAATTTTGGTTGAACGTTTTCGTTTCATATTTTCTTTCTTGGGTCGAAAGAGTACTATTATGTATTTCAGTTTTAAAACATCAAGTTCATTTACTCTTTATTGCCTGATACCGTAAAATATTTCTTTGCCTGCCGTTTAATTTGACGTATAACGCGAAGCTTAAACTCTCTACTGGTCCGACAAGAAATGACGGCAGCGTGCGAAGGCGGGGGGATAAATGTCAAGACCAGTTTTCCTGATTTTGAGGGCTCTGTTTACATGGGACTTGATGATTTGAAAACCACACTGTCTAGTTCTCGCATGGGCAATCATGACGCAGACCGTACGAATTTCCATGTGAACAAATGAAGAGCACGAAATATAGTTGTGACTGTTCCGAACTCTTCCCCCTGTCGTTTGCTGGGAGTCTGGGACTGCACGCAATCTAGTGTTAACAGAGTTCGCAAGTCGCAACCGTAGTCTTGAGACAAAGCAGAACCGTCTGTGACGTAAAATCGGGACAGTAAAAGACCTTGTAATCAGGGACAACCAGCCTCATACCCAGGCGCTTTAAAGGAAATAAGCACTTAATAAGCAAGTACTTCACTAGTGTTATACTGTATATATAGTTCGGCGGATGAGCGCGCTGGGATGCTTGGGGGACGAAGCCAGCGTTGAACTCGAACAATTTTTCGCTTCCCTTGGGAATTCAAGCGGGATTCTACTGTATACTACAACTTATTGAAGTATAGAGGAACTTGTTGTTCCTACTGCGCGCCGATATTGAGGTTATAATTAAATATATTGGCCCCAACAAAAAATGACGATAGCGTGCAAAGGCGGGGATAAATGTCAAGACCAGTTTTCCTGATTTTGAGGGCTCCGTTTACATGGGACTTAATGATTTGAAAACCACACTCAAATATGAAGGATTTCGCCTGTCTAGTTCGCATGGGCAATCATGATGCAGACCGTACGAATTTCCATGTGAACAAATGAAGAGCACGATCAGTTGTGACTGTTCCGAACTCTTGCTCGTCTCGTGTTTATAACGTAGCCTGCGTGCAGTCCTTTGCTGGGAGTCTGGGACTGCACGCGATCTAGTGTTAACCGTCCGCAACCGTAGTCTTGAGACAAAGCAGAACCGTCTGGACGTAAAATCGGGAAACAGTGAAAGACCTTGTAATCAGGGACGACGTAGAGAAGTCGTTGGATCCAAATTACCTGATTTTTAAAATTACTTAATTTACGATTAATATTTTTGAAATTTAGTGTGGTCTTTTCATGAGTACATTCAAGTAACAGGAGTTTCTTTCGAAAGAAAAATTTTGAAGATTTAGACCGGCAGCTCCCCGGAAAGAAAGCTCTGAAATTGAAATGCAACTAAAATTTTGGAAGCCTGGTTCACACTAACAATTTTGTCGGCGATTTAATTTGTGTTTCTGACGGATGTAAATGAGTGAACTCGCACACAACAGTATAGAGTAGCTTTGTATGTCATTCGATTACATTTGCCAGGAGGACAAAATGGTCGACAGAATTGCTAGTGTGAAGCTTGCGTTCACCGTTTAACTTCCAGATTCGCCTTTCCAAACAATGCAACGTATTCTAATATCATGATAGAAGATTCAGTTGAATTTGTTTTTTTCGGCGGTCTATGTAGTCTGTAACAATGTAACAGTGTAACGGTGTAATTAGTGTTTATGAGTTTCGTCGTTCAAGTCCGACTTACCTTGAGCTGTCTGTTTTTGACACTCATAACAATTTCATAACAAGAACGGTCCCTGGTTCCTCTTTTATATCCGTATTTATACGTATTTATACGTACACATTTGGTAGTTAATTATTAAACAATGATTTTATATGTGGAGCATTGGAGTTATAGGATATCACCAACAGGATGAAATCCGTTTAAAGGTGCAGTTCAAAAATAATAACCCAAGCCAGTTAAAAAATACAATAGAAAATTAAACTATAGATTATGCATACATTGTATATTGACTATAGATTAAGCATACGCTTTAAACGCAGTTTCATTGGATATTAATTTGGATTAAATTAACAGGAACATTGTTTGAATCTAAACTACTGATACGACGCATGTCACTTAATATATAGTTTGTTCCCTGGTTTGTTAGTTTTTCAACACCACGACCTGATTATGTTTCCTGGGCAACATTTTTTACTTCTGTAATGGTAGTTTTTATTACCACAACAAGAGCTGCCATAACGTTTTGAGAGAATTGTGCCACGGCAGCAAACTGAGCTTCTGTAATGATAGTTTTTATTACCACAACAAGAGCTGCCATAACGTTTTGAGAGAATTGTGCCACGGCAGCAAACTGAGCTTCTGTAATGGTAGTTTTTATTACCACAACAAGCGTTGCCATAACGTTTTGAGAGAATTGTGCCACGGCAGCAAATTTGGGATACGGAATGGTAGTTTTTATTACCACAACAAGAGCCGCCATAACGTTTTGAGAGAATTGTGCCACGGCAGCAAATTTGGGATACGTAATGGTAGTTTTTATTACCACAACAAGCGTTGCCAAAACGTTTTGAGAGAATTGTGCCACGGCAGCAAATTTGGGATACGGAATGGTAGTTTTTATTACCACAACAAGCGTTGCCAAAACGTTTTGAGAGAATTGTGCCACGGCAGCAAATTTGGGATACGGAATGGTAGTTCTTATTACCACAACAAGCGTTGCCAAAACGTTTTGAGAGAATTGTGCCACGGCAGCAAATTTGGGATACGGAATGGTAGTTTTTATTACCACAACAAGAGCTGCCATAACGTTTTGAGAGAATTGTGCCACGGCAGCAAATTTGGGATACGTAATGGTAGTTTTTATTACCACAACAAGCGTTGCCAAAACGTTTTGAGAGAATTGTGCCACGGCAGCAAATTTGGGATACGGAATGGTAGTTTTTATTACCACAACAAGAGCTGCCATAACGTTTTGAGAGAATTGTGCCACGGCAGCAAACTGAACTTCTGTAATGGTAGTTTTTATTACCGCAACAAGAGCTGCCATAACTTGTTGAGAGAATTGTGCCACGGCAGCAAACTGAACTTCTGTAATGGTAGTTTTTATTACCACAACAAGAGCTGCCATAACTTCTTGAGAGAATTGTGCCACGGCAGCAAACTGAACTTCTGTAATGGTAGTTTTTATTACCACAACAAGAGCTGCCATAACGTCTTGAGAGAATTGTGCCACGGCAGCAAATTTGGGATACGTAATGGTAGGATCTGCCTCCACACAGAGAACGGCGATTTCTCACTTTTGCTTCTTCCGCAGCATGTGCTAAATGCCGGACGAAAAAATGAAAGTCATGCCATGGAGTTACAATTATTATAGTTGAGAACGAATTGCCAAAAATTCCACTTGAACTTACCAGAAGTCGCGTACAATACGAAAATCCAGAAACAAACAACAAACAGCCACTTCATATCGTGTATTTGTTAGTGCTCTGCTACACTGACTTAACTGATCAGTCTACGGACAAACTTCTCACAGACAATTGTTCACTTCTGCTACCTCAAGCTATACCAAGAGGTTATATCAAGTTCCAAAACTGGAAATGACCTCATAATTGAGCTGAAGCTCGTGTTCTGGAAGACAAAGCAGAAATGTCACATAACGGGGTAACCAAAAAGACGTCGTGGTTAATAAATTTGAATGATTAAATAAACCACGATGCCCATGGAGCACCACCTTAGATAAGAGAAAAAAATATTAAAATTATCGTTGTACGGTCATAGGTTTTAAAACTGGCGGAAGTTGAAATATCTATATTTAATTCAAAAGACAACCGGATCAGCTTAAAATCTACATAATACTTAATAGACTGTTTACACAGTTACAACATGCTTTGAACAAAACTGACATTTAATCGTAGACTTTACTTGCCAGACGACGAATCAAACGAAAGAAATCACTTGACCGATAAGAAAACTATAGCTAAGAGTCTTTAGAGCTATATGAAAACTGTCGAGTGTCGTGCATTCTCGTACCCAGAGCCCTTCTTACGCGCGGTGCGAGTGTCGTGGTGCATCACGATCAACTCCCCTTGAGTCTCCCCTTCACGCTAGCTGTCTAAACATTTCACTCTGCATATATTAAACATTCGTGCGGTGATGCCAAAATGGAAGTGACTGATAAGAGCAACCGGTGCAGCCAGAGAATCTTGAAGGATTTGTTGTAGATGGAAATTTAGAGTGTAAAATATGTTCGTTTTTAGGCCTAACCAGAAGTAGCTGCAAAAAATTACCCTTTACAGGCCCTGCGATTCCGGGACAGCGCTCTAACCAACCGAGCTACGGCCAGTATACATATGTATTCATGCATGTATTATACTAAGATCATGTTTATGACTATATCAGTATATGGGTAAATATCAGGATTTTGGCTGCCTGGTTGAGTGGTTGTGCTATACCATTCGCTTTATCATTTATGCATTCATGGAAAGGGAAGTTGAAATCACCTTCAAAAAAGACCGGATCAGCTTAAAAATCTGCATAATAATAAAGATTGTTGATATTATGAATTTTTGATAAGAGAAGTTCATTAAATCATATGATTAAATAGATTGTTTACATAGCTACTGAACAAAAGCAACCCGCGATATTTCGATATTTTTATTTATCAGTAATCCACTAAATCGTGGATCCTTGTGAGAAAACTAAGAGCTTGAAAACTGATAGACGTGCAGCTCGAGAAACTCGCCTTCTCAGCTTCGGCGGCACAATTGTCAGAACAACTGCGTGTTTCACCTCTCTCTCTGATACTTAAATCCCCGAAGATCGCGGGTTCGATCATCTCCCTTCGGACTCACTAGACATTTATGATTTATATCATGAAAAGAGTCAGTCTACGTTCTAACAAAAGTCGCGGGTTTTCTCTGGGTACTCCAGTTTCCTCTCACATGGAATGTTGACAGTGTGGGTTGGGATTAACCCCCTAACTAATCTTCCACCGTAGCTGTGCTCTATATGATCGGGCATAAGTCATAAGGTGGAAGCCACAGGCGCCCTTGGTGAACCAGTGTATTTTACATTGTGGTCGGAAAATATAAATAGTTTAAATTGCGATATCTATATATTTCAATTAGAATGTCTGTGTGACCTGAAAATGATCACAACTTTGACTCTATCAGATTGAGCAGTGTCCTTTGCAGCTGCAAGTAAGAATGATTAGCACTCACACTTGCTTCTCGGCTCTCCCTCATATCCGCTTCAAAGAACGGCTGCGTAGGAGACTACTTCTTCGCTAGGTATCGAATACAATATATTTGAATCTTGTTATAATGAAGTTCCATTTGTCAAAAATGTTTCGTTGATGAAAGAAGAAGGAAATACCGGTTTAACTGATAATGCTCAGAGAGATGCTGTGTCAGAGAAAAGATCTAAACTGTTTCGCATACGTCACTCTTTCAAACTGTGAAGCCTAGTCCCAGGCCTTCTCGCGTGACTGGAGATTCCCTGCAAACCTTGTCAAAATACCACCCTAAAATAGTAAGGCGGAAGCGAATTGAAACGGCGAGGAACTAGTAATACAAATAATTAACTGCGGTTAGTGTTTATCGGAATTTTAAACAGGGATGAGTTATTTCATAGTGCCAAGTACCATATTCCATGGGCGTACTGGCAGAAAAATATTAGAGGGGAGGACAAAAATTTGCCAACATTGATGAAATTGCCCGCCTGGGTTTATTGATAGATGAATAGAAGGTAAATAGAAGGAACAAGACTGAAAGACGTCTCCTGGACTGTTGTCTAGTATTTGAAATAATTGACGTCAATGTGATCTTGTAGGTAGAGGGGCGTAAACCATGCATCATCCTTTATCCTCTGACATTTTTGACCCGCCAATAATGTCAGAGAAACAGCTAGAATGGTTTATCAAAAGAGATCGAGGGTGAATGCAACTGAATGGAGTATTCGGAATTCGTTTTCGCACATTTCCGAGATTTCACGTCCGAGCAGGTGTTCCAGTATTAATTAAGCAGTGTTATATTTAGAGGTTCAAGGTCGAAGAAAAGCATCACTGACAGAAATCATTCAGATGTACTATAAATATCCCTATAGCATGGGGGTAGACGGAAGTCTTAAATACGTAAAGAGATTTCAATAAGTATTAAGAGTCAATTAGATATATAGAATATTAAAGTATCATATGATAGTTGGTTCATAACTGTTTATTTATTAGACAGGTTCGCAAAGTTCCATATTTTGCTTGTGTTCAGTATCACATTCCAACCGCGTCCGCTCCTACCGGCGGCTATTAATTAGCATTTCTCACCTCATTGGCTTGAAAATAAATCATAAATGGCGATAATTTGGTTGAATTTTCAAACTTTATACTCAAATTTGAAAAAAAAAACATGCATGAGTATTAACTTTTTTTTGTATTAACTTTTTGGAACCCCGTTATTGGAGAACTAATCTCTGTGTGGTAATTCCAGCCATGTAATCTATTGTGTGTAATAGTTTGTGTTAACTAATTTTGTGTAATAGTTTGTATTAAATGGCAAAATCTGTAAAATAAAATAAAAATATAATAAAGACGAGCCCAAAATACGAAATTGCACTCAACTCTGCCAGACCAGAATTAAGCTTCAATAGAATTTCACTATCCAGTTATACTGTATATAAATAAATTATTTTACTGTCTGTTCCATTGCACTAATAATAGCGTCAGCAACAATTCACTGCATGTAATTTGCCCAGCAAGGAAATCCAACATGGAGAAATTATGAAAAATAATTAATGAATCAAAATCTGATAATTTCCCAAATTTTAGCGGATGTGCACATATTTAAAGCAGGTGGTAAAAAGCTATAAGTAAAAATTAGAAACCACAAATTCAGTAAGATATTATATAAATGATCAATATGAGCTGTTCATTTAACAGTATCAACTAATATGTCAATATTTTTAATCTTCGTATCTCTAGTTCCATTTCGTAGACTCATTGACAGTGATGACTAGCACATTTGACATGCAGTTGTGTAGATACAACTGAAGCATTATATGCCAAGGTAAAGTATGCATTTAGGCAAGGAAAACGCCCCCGACTTCGTTATTATAATTGTTTTAACAAATAACACATATATATGAATCGTTGGAAGCTCGGAGCAATGAAATGGTCATGCAGTGCAATCCTAATTGGGGCTTTATGGTCTTGGCATTCTCTGAGCGGCCGAGGCTTCATATATACAGGAGCCATAGACATAGTGTATTATACAATCGAGTGTGTTCAAAATTCACAGTATTAATCTCTTTATAACTTCTTTTCTGCATTTCGATCGACAGTTTACATTTTAAAATGATGTTCCAGATTTACATTAAAAATATATTGCTGAAGTAACAGGGCATTGTGCAAAATTAAAGGTTAAAATCTACTGGTGTCTGGCTGTTTCAATAAATACCTTTATAAATACTAAAACATCCAATTGTTAATTGACGTTTGACAAGATACACAACACCTCCAGGTCAGCTGAGGTCAGGACAGGATTTTGCCGCAAACTCAGGAAAGATTTAGTTAAACCTGGCAAGCTTTCCGTTTTAACATAATGATGTTATTTAATAAGATCTCATAGGGACACACTGGGTGTCTATTCCTGACATCACGATTTTATTTTCATTGACAGCAGTAGGAGAGTAAAAGTCTGACTGTGAAAGCTATCAAACACACTAAGATGAATAGATACATGAAGTGTTTGAATCATGAATTTTCACATCGTCAAGGTTGTATATTTACAGACTTTCATGTCCATGAAGAAGTGGAAGGTGTACAGATGTTTATGGGTCGACGTCTACCACCAAATCCAAGTCGCAGGATTTGTAGGTTACAAAACAGAAATAGCTTTTTCTTAACCATTTCTGAATCTGGTGGAATTATGGGAACAAAGAACATTCAAGATGCATTTAGTAAGTAAATTTACACATTCATTTTACGCATGATATTATAATGAGCAAAGTGAATCACGCAAGCTATTGTGCGCAATTAGTAAGATTGCGTGTATATATATTGACATCGCCGCAATTATCTCCATGTCTGCATTGTCTGAAGTCTGCTTTGTTTCACCTAACTTTTCATCAACCTAATCAGACTCACGTTTTATTTTTCTTCAATTTCCTATTAAATGACCGCGCATTGTCTTCATTTATCATGTTCGCTAACATACAAACTTTAGAGATTTGTTTGAAAATTGATAAAAAGATCTTTTATCTTGTTTAACCACGTGTGCATCTAAGGCCTGATGTGAACGTTTTATTGAAATATTGGTTTTAATCATAGTAAAATCAACTATTAGTTGATAGTGATAACCATCAAGGTATAAGGGACCACAATAACATCGAAAATAGCCTATTGTCTCAATCCGGAAAAAAAAAGTGTAATTTGGCAACAGTGCATTTTCCGAAAAAACAACTTTTGGCAGTTCACGAACTTTGTAGAAAACAATAGAATTATACTAATCATGTGATAATATTGCTGTATGTTTCTTGTTATATATAGCAAGTGACAAGGAAAATTAAAACTGTTGACAATAATTTAGATGGGCTGCTGAGCAAAGTCAATTTCGCACGCAACGACATTTTGATTCGAAATTTGACTCGACTAAATTTAAACAAATGTTTATTGCGTTGCGGTTACGGAAATCAAGGTGTTTCACAGTATCACTTCAGAGTGATAGAGGTGCGATATTTATCGCTTTATTGTGAATTGAGAGAACAAGGTCAAGGAATATTGATGTCTGAAAAGTATAGACTACAAAATACTAATTAATATTGTTGTCATTATGAGTCATTGGTTTTTGGTTGTGGGTCTAGATAGCAAAGTTGTCAGCACTTGCAGTATTGCACATGCCTGCTTCTTTACCTCTTCCTTCCTGAAGTGTCTGGAATACAACCGATATTCCGCTTCAAAGTTTAATTTTTGGGTTTTTTATTGGTTCGCCCATGATCTACATAGTAACATATAAATGTATATATACCAAATTATTCATTCTGGACTAGGAGTCTATAGGAATACATTATTTTATAGTGTTAAGGTGTAAAATAATGATATATAGGATTAATTATACAGATATTTTGGGGTTTTAAATTAGTTGGTATCAAGACTATTCCAAATGTCCATTCCTTTTACTGAAAGTGAGTATTTGACGAAGTTAGTCCTTTGACAAGTCTTATGAAGTTTAGATGTATTTCGTATGTTATGTTGATGAATTTGATTGTTTCTAATGATTTTTCTAATGTTAAATTGTTTAAATAATGATACTGTTTGACGACTAAGGCCACATAAAAAAAATTACTTGTTTAGCGTCCACCCATTTTAATTTTTCTAGGTCGGGCGGACGGATTTTTTTTTTTTTTTTTCGTAAAATGCAACACAAAATTCTGCTAAATGCAGGAAATCCAGTATATTACCACAGTCAAAACTCACTTTAATTCTTTTAAAATCCGTTCATGTTTTTTAACTTCCCGTTCATGTTTTTAATAAAACAGAAAATTACCGTTTGGCGGTCACGCGCGAACACTTTAGCTGCGAACAGGCATATTCTGGGAAGGAAACTTTGTGTAAACGTATTACATAGCTCCCAGAAGAATAAAATCACCATTTTTTCAAGTAAAACGGTCTTTTTTATAGAGTTTTTCCACTAAACTCGGACAAATTTTTAAAAAAAATTTAAAAAAATTGGAGGTCGGTGACTTTTATCAGGTCGGGCGGGGACGCTAAACAAGTAATTTTTTTTATGTGGCCTAATTAACCTATATATACATTATTTATGTGCAGTGACTGAAGGTTATGTGACAACAAATATTTAGGCTGTGCAGGTGCAGCATTCCGTTTTTTAAATAAACACTTTACAATGGTCCTATACACTGTGAAACAGAGCCAGTGAAAATATCCTGACCTTTTGGCCTTTCCTCTCCCAGCAGTTTCTGCTGTCAACCTTGGAGTCAACGAACAAATGACATTTTCTGTCAAGACAATGAATTTCGTTTTTGCGGTGTCTAAGTGGGTTATGTATTGATTTTCTCTTCTGATTTAAATTTCCCTGTGTCTGCGAATGTATATACCCCCAAAATAATTACGTAACTATATTCAAAGCTCGATTAAATTATCAGCTTAGTTAGCGGCCTCTTTGTAAAACTACAGTTTTTGTGGCTGAGTGGGAACCGGGTGAACTGCGGAGGAGGCTGCTGACATATATACACAAGCTGTCTACCATTAAATCAGTGATGTATATGCACATAATAGTCTGACCTTTCGCCTTGAGGATGCATCGTCACGCAGGATACTACAACAACAATGCATGGAAGTTGGAATGTCAGAGGGATGATATAACCAGGTTTAATTTCCTGCCAGATCTACAAAGTTTTATTATCTGAAAACAAAATATTTTTAGTTCAATTTACAAGATAAGCAGGTTAATCCAGTAATATCATTTGTAAAATCAATAATTATGAGGCTGTAAACCACATTAATGGCGAGACATTTTACAGTGGCCTTTATCGGCTTAATGTCATGAACGGTCATATCATTCTCTATATAAGACAGTAAATTTGCATAAAAGTCGGACAAACAATGTTTCATTATTTTCTTTTTTATTGCAACACCATTGATTCATTGTACATTTGCGCGTTCTGATTGCTTGATGAGTCCAACGATATGTCAAATCATAATATACTGAACAGATGCTGTTTATCTCCATAAGGTAATTGTATAAAACATTTCAAATTATGGAAGAAAATTTCAAAATTTCCTAAATTTGTTTCATTGTGAGTAAGTTGTATACTTATATACGTCGTCACTATAAGTTCATCTCATAATATGGGAGCTTAGTAATTTTGGCAATCATATTCCTCCGTGTCCAAGGTAACGCAGTGAAACTTAGTTTGTTTCCTTTGACGTATTCGGTATGAAACTCCAATATTTATAAGTATTTCCTTTGTTTAGTATTTGCTAAATGCTGTGGTTATTTTAGTTCAAGACATTATTCTTTTATCATTTTTAAATAATCTTGTCATCCCTCTTCAACACCTTTGTCACGTCTTCACTTGTTTGATTTGAAAAATAAGTTGTTAGGGGCAGACCATTAGAAAAGCGATGGGGGAGGGGGAGGATTTACAGATTGCACGAATTTTTTGTTTCGGCCGAATTTGTTCCCCCCTCTTCATCATTTTTCTAATGGCCTCGGCGCCTCGCCCCTTACCTCTGTGGCCGTTCTCATTATTATTAATAACAAAATTATTGTGAAGCTTATCCGAGCTTTGGCGTACATAGTGTTACAAGACTTACAAAATGTCAATTTTGAAAACACATTGTGACTGTGAGACTATAGTTACAGCGGAGACAATTTCCTCCACATAGGCTTGAACTGAGTTTTTGTCATCGAGCTTATTCGGCCTCCCCATGCATGTGTACCAAGCTCTCCCCTCGGGCAACGCAAAGCTATTGAGCCCTGATGAAAAGTTTCTGCTGAAAGAAAATTTTGTAATTAATATAATTGCCATAATGTTTGTATACCTAATTCTGTTATGACAAGGGATAAGGATTAAAATATTTTTTATACGTGGCAACATCTAATATGATTGACTGTCTTTCATCATTTGGTATATATGGTTAGTACAGAGCCGCCAAGTTTCACGGTTTAAACGTGAGTGCCCAAGGTTTTGGGGCTGAATTCGAGGTCTCGCAGGTAGACATACAAATGCAGTAGGCAGCGATATTTTTTTAAATGTAATACATTATTTGATGTTCATGTCTGATGATGATTTGAAATAAAATGGAAATATGAACAAAATCCTGTTTTTTGTTTTGTTTTGATCCATATCTTGAATTTATCCGAAGATGTTATTTTTCGGACTTTGTTTTGTATCTCACACTAGTGTTTCAGGAAAATGAAACATACTGCGGATCAAATTTTGCATCAGCCATCACAGTCCAGCGAATAGAAACAAATATCCAAGAGCATATTACTCACTGCATGTGTACTATGAGATCAGTGGTATTACTTCCAATCTATACCTCTTGTCACTTTCTCGTGTACGAAATAGCATTCTAAAGACCCGGTAGAAAACACAAAGTTTTGAAATGGGGCATGCCAATGAGTTGCACCATGCTTCACTCATTCTGTTTATTATGGCATCCCTGGTAACGATCTACAAGTTTTTAATCATCTCAACTGACTTGACAGCTCTGTGTGCAGTGGTACCTCTGCAGTGGTACCAGGGCTCTCAGAACGGAATTCCAAATTTTCCTTAGACTCAGCGGTAAAAATTCCTTAAATGGACAAAAATTTCCTTAGACTTGGCCTAGTCTCTGAGGAACACTCCAGTTGCGCGCGATCATAGGCGCAATTGGCGCGAAAATATGTAAATATAACTTTTTTACATCGGAAAATGGCGGATTCTGAATTTTCTGATTTTGAATCCGAGGGAAGCGCTCCAAAAAAGACTAAAATTTAAAAAAAAAGTATAAACAAAAATTTCGAGCGGAATGGAGAAAATATCCTACTTTTAAACATTGGCTTGTTGCATCAAAAAACGCGAACGACGAACCATCATGCAAAGTTTGCTGCAAAAAAGTTTCGAGTTCGAAAACTGCGCTTCAGAAACACAGCGAGTCAAAGTCACTCAGAAACTTACGCCCGTATTCTAAAAGCTCCCTCACACTCACTGAGTGGAGGTTCAATCTGAGCTTTTCTTGAGTGTCAATGCTGTTATTGAATAGCTGGAGGGTGAGTGGTCACAAGGTACAACACTAACCCTCCAGCTATTCAAAAACAGCAATGACACTCGAGAGAAGCTCAGATTGATCAGCGATTTCAGTAAAAACTATTGCCCAAAATTTTCATTAGGTCGATGGATTTCGATGGATATAATTTATAAGTATAACGAACAGTGGAATAACTAATTATTGTTTGGAGTGTTTTTCAACTCAAAATTCCTTAAAAATTCCTTAAAAATTCGATTTCCTTAAAAGTCTCCTTAAAAAGGTCAAAATTTCCTCAGTTTAAGGAAATTTCCTTAAAAATGAGAGCCCTGACTGTCACAGAAAAGAAAATGGACCAGAAGCCTCACTGTATATCTTTTCCTAACATTTTCGTGTCCGCGATTTTCGCCATGCGGATCACGAATTTCGCACGCTAGATGACGTGTGTGACACTTGCTCATAGAGATTATAAATAACACTAGAGGAGGCATTGTAATCTTAATTCAGTAAAAAAAAGGGAACGCGACTATTGGGGGGCAAATTCAAGTCCCGGATGTGTATTCGTGTTCCCATTGGTGACGAGTTTCAAATCAGCCAATGAGAGCACGATTTTATATCCGGGACTTGAATTTGCCCCCCATTAGCTGCGTTCCCAATTTTTAAACTCGATGCCTCCTCTAGTGTTATTTATAATCTCTATGCACTTGCTGCGAACATCACGTCAGCGTTCGTCAGCAAAACGGTTAAAACAGCAATCTTTATTACCTAGTGATGGCGTTTGATGGCGTCGTGATTACACTTGCTGGCTCGCGCCTGCGCATAAAAAATCTCGGACATAATTTTGGCTAAGTGAGGCTTCTGGTCTATTTTCTATTCTGTGCCTGAGTGGTACAGAAAATTTTTTTCGCAAAGTATCACTGATGATAAAATCGACATTATGTGAATGCCAAAAATTTATTCCGTATAACGTGGATAAGTGTGGAAATTGTGGTTGTATGAAATCTTGGAAGAGCAGTGTTCATTTGTGTTTTTATTTTTAGATAAAATTCAAATAATTTCCATGGGAAAAAATCTTATTTCATTCAGTCCGAAAGATAGCTCGATGTATTTGGCTGTTGATAAGAATGGAAACATGTTTCTCACAGTAAGTATATTTCATCATTCGTTAGGCGTCTAAGCGGTTTGAACCTACATGTCCAAACTAACTAGTGAAAATCTCTATACCGAACTCCCACCCCGAAAGTTATTTTTCCAATTTTGGGGTCCTGGACTGGGAATTATATAGTAAGAGAGAGAGGCAACTGGCAAGGTGCTAAATAGAGACTGGAAACCATAGAGAGATTGAGTAGTAATTAGTAAACAGAGGCTAAGGGCTAAATCTCTCTCATTAATCGTGAGCCAATCGTGACATGGCTTTTTCAAAGGACAATTTGTGCACAAAAATTGAAGCATGAATTAGCTAAAAACTTGTCGAAACTTTCGAAACCTGTAGAACTTACCTAATTCAAATGCGATTTAACTTCTCTATTGAGAGTTGAAAAGCGAGAGTTTGCCGTGAGTTTTCTCAACAGATTCTCATGCCCAAGTCAACGAGAACAAGTGTTGCATGAGAGTTGATCAGAGTTGACTATATTACCACGCGCGGAGCGAAACTCTTATCAACTCGATCTCATTAAAATTTGAACCAGTTCAAAGTTGACGAGAGTGTGCGAGAGTCGATCAGAGTTGGCAGTCATCTGCAGTCAAACGCAAGCGAGAGTTGAAACTGTCGACAATTCTCGCCTCAACTCTCATTCGTTTGTCCGCCGGGGCTTAAGCGATTGCATTGGTACAAGTGTATATTGCATGTATTATTCAGTTCACTCCCCATTGGAATTTTCAGTGACCGATTATATCAAGTATTACGCTTACTTTATATTACGTACTTAGCCTTGTTTTCTTAACTTTGTTTATCCTAACACACCCTGGTGACCCTGTCAACTTTCCCTGTGGGAGGAAAGCTCAGGAACCCAAGCTTCCGGAGCGGAAAACCTACAGAAAACCCCGCACGACTTCCGGCAGAGCGTTGACAGACTCGTTCATATAAGTCCACATGAGTCAGTAGCGAGAATCGACCCCAGGATCTCAGAGGTGAAAGGCACTTGCTCCGACCTCTGAACAAAAGACTCCTTGCATGGATATCATTTTACGAATAGAGAATGTATTTATTTTCTTGCCATTTTTTATTTATAACTTTGGAGGATTAACTTATTGTATTATTTTCAGTTATTTCGGAACCATTCTTAGAGATATGACAAACTAGTTTCGTATTATTCTGACACTGAAATGATTTGTTGTCTCGAGCGGGATTCGCATTTTCGTGTTTCTAGACCGTTCCAAGACAAGCGTTAAGTGGTCGCGTTTCGTGCACTTCAATTAGCCTTTTCCCAAAAGAGATCACAGTGCATTCTGGGATCGTTTGGAGTGACAAAATATATGGAGACAGGCGTCAAATATATGAAAGAGTAGAAGTATCTACTATCAACTTCTCAGTACACGACCAAAAATGAAATATCTTCTTTTTACATTAAACTTTTAATTTAAATGTGTGCTGCCATATTTCTTGTCCCTCCAACAAGGGATTCGCGCGGCAGCTCGATCTTTTCCGAAAATTAAGGCTATGTCTTAATTGTAAAAAGCGTTCAAATTAAGACATTGCCTTAATTTTAAACCTAACCCCCACCCAACCCCCACCCTAACCTCTAACCCCTAACCGCTAACCCCTAATCTAATTTTAGTCTAACCCTAATCCAATCCAAATCTGGCGACCTTTTTTTTAAATTACCACCTCTGCGCGTCGAGCCTCCCTTCTAAGGCCATTACTTTTATAACAAGAAGTCTTGCCTAATGATTGTGGTATTATTAAATTAAGGCTATGCCTTAATTTTGGAGAATTTCAAATTTAAGCCATATCCTTAATTTTCAAAAGTTTTACAATTAAGACATAGCCTTAATTTTGAGAAGAGATCATGTTGCGCGCGAGTAGACCCAGGATTTTGGAAAATGGCTAATTGGATAAGGCTCGCTACCAATCCCCAATGACTCGATAGCTCAAGGGTAGAACAGCGAATTTTTCGTTGTACCCGCCATGTCAGAACAGTGATGTAACCAGGATGGGGGACCGAAAAAATCCCTGGAGGGACCCAAGCAATTTTACCCGACGCTAGTTCGAATAAAATTTGTTTATTGTGAAAATGTATTTGGACGCCCATGATACCATGCATAATATAGTACAATGAACTTTTAGAGAGGTCCGGGGGTATGGTCCCCCGGGAAAATTTTTAAATTCTAAAGTAGGTAAAGTGCCATTTTCAGCATTTTGGGGGTTATTTTAAGGCGTTTTGGTGATTTTAAGTAACCATTTAACACATAACAACTCTACTTAATCACAAACGAATCCAGAACATTTAAGAAGATACAAAATTTCCATCGCAATTAAGAAATGAAAATATAACTGCACATGCTTGTACTGGTCATGCAGGATGTTTCCAAGGGGGCCCAATATTTTGCCAGGGGGAGGGACGGGGCGGGGACCTCCCCTGCCTACGTCACTATGTCAGAATTATATGAAACTAGTTAACTTATTGTATGTTCACTTTTGCTTATGATAGAGAAAGACGAAGGATGTCAAAATTGATCAATTTATATTTGAAGAGAAAATGGACGATACATTTTATATTTCATATAAACTAAAAGCATATCGCGGCAAGAGAGCATGGTATTTGTCTATTGATGAACATGGTAATGTTAGTATGGTTAGATGTTTACCTGGTACCACACAAGCTAACTCACAATTCTTTCTTATTCAACTTAAGAAACGACATTCATTGTGATGCGCAGAGCATATTGTAAGCAGCAATTTTATTATAAGAGTGTGGGAAATTGTTTGGTTCTTAAATGTGATAAATGTTGCATAAAAATATTTAATTGAATAAAAGTTATAGAAAATTTTAAACAACTGCCTGAAAAATATAAAAAGAACTTCGAATTTCAAGCGAAGGCCCTTCGAAATTATTTTTATATTTTCAGGTATAATTGTATATCGTCCACAAACGTTAGCAGTTTGTATTCTTCGCAACGTGCACTGCCGGGTCAGAAAAAAAATCCTATAAATTTTCGAAAAACCTATTAACGTTAATTGAAAATGAAACATGCAACACTGGTGAAAAAATAGGCTAGAGTATGGCCAAACGTTGGGTCATGAATGCATTTCAACTTGTAGGCAGGATAGCGCTATCCAACCACAGCGGCCCAATCTCAGAATGAATGATCAGGTGTTGCGGGTTTTTAACGGTTTTTATAAACAAATTTATAGTCAACCAAAACTATTTTAAAAACATTCTTAAATTAGTCAAATAAATACATTTTAACAATAAAATATAGTTGACATGATAGTATAATACCTTTGCATTCTTTTAATTACTCCATGAACTCATTTAGAGCGGTTGATGTAACATTTTCTGTGGCCTACATTGAGTGTGCTCATCTATATATAATATTATATTATATATAGATGAGCACACTCAATGTAGGCCACAGAAAATGTTACATCAACCGCTCTAAATGAGCTCATGGAGTAATTAATTTAAAAGAATGCAAAGGTATTATACTATCATGTCAACTATATTTTATTGTTAAAATGTATTTATTTGACTAATTTAAGAATGTTTTTAAAATAGTTTTGGTTGACTATAAATTTGTTTATAAAAACCGTTAAAAACCCGCAACACCTGATCATTCATTCTGAGATTGGGCCGCCTGTGATCCAACGGCAACGGAAAGTGATTTTTTTGATGCGCACTTCACAATGAATAAATATAAACTTCAATTTATAGATTGTAAAGTTTAATCAAGCTTGAAAAATCACTATTATATCCGCGGTGGATAGTGCTATCCGGCTAATTGTGTTGTTATTGAATATCGTCATTGGAGAAAACTGTAGGTATACTGTAAAGTAGTGCATCGCCAACTATTTCGGACATTGAGTCGGCAGTGCGCCAGCGGATACCCCCGTAAAAGTCAATATAGTTTAGGCAGAGAATCTATAAAATACATAGGAATCAAACTAAAAACATCGAATTGACAAAAAGATATTTCGATTATTTCATTTGCTCAAATGGAGTAGTATTCCTACATTGCATACAAACGGCACTGTCGAAAAAAATAATAGTTAAACCTTTATCTTACGTTTCGTTTCGAGATTCAACTTCTGAACGCTTTGCTTCTATAGACTTGTATACTAACTCGGCCAAAATCCGCTCGATTACCGAGTTTCATTGTTCAATTTTTAAATTTCTGTGACTGCTATGTAATTTGCTCAAATGGAACACCAACCTTGAGGATCCTCGCTAGCTGCTCACAAAAATTGGGCCCATAAAACACTGGAGAAGTTTTTCGTATTTACCATCAAATATCATGAATTTTCGTAGACACTTAGAATATTATGCGCTGTTAGTATGTGATCGCATTGCCGCAAATTTCACTGCGATTAAAAGCTAAATTAAAGGCGAAAAATCACTCGGAGTAGGTTGTATTTGGTACCAAAATGATCGCCACGATGTTTATTTTTCAACCCTGCAAACGCTTCTGGGATACATGAAACACAACCCGTGCTGCCAGCGGTAGAAGTTGGGCCGTTTGGCTACAGCCAAACTAAAAGGTCAACCAAAGGTCAACCGTATTAAATAACTTCAATCTAGACGAAATATTGTAATGTTTTCCGTGCTTAAAACCATTTATTTTGACAATAACGACTGTTCGAGCGTCGAAATTAGAAGTTCTATCCAGTGGGGGAAACACTTATGTGTTTCTAATAGAATTGGCTCATTTATTTCCATTTGGTCATTCCAAAACATTGCAAAACATTGCGCGTTATTGCGCGTTATGCATTTCAGGGAACTTCCGCTGGATAGTAGGATTGACATAAGACCGCAATAGTTGGCGATGGAAAAAGTTTCCAATGTCAATGACAATGTGAAAAGAATGTTTAAAAATATCGGGTGTCGTAAACGTCTGAAAGAATACTTAAAGAACATGTATATATAGGGTGTTTTAATATTTATATTTACAGATAGTAAAGAATGTATGTTTATGAAAATAAAAAAAGGAAATTGATGAAAATGTCTTCAATTTTCAGTTAATATGAACAGAAAAACGAGCAGAAAAACTTGGGAGATCACTTCCAGTCCCCGAACGGCGGACGCGCCATCAAAATTTCGCCGGATCAAACAAAAAATGTATATAGGTAGAAACTGTCAAACTGAAGTCAAATGACCTCGTTGCTCGAATTGTTTATCTCTTATTCTTATATGATAATCTATATTATTATATTGTGTGTGTGTGTGTGTGTGTGTGTGTGTGTGTGTGTGTGTGTGTGTGTGTGTGTGTGTGTGTGTGTGTGTGTGTGTGTGTGGGGGGGGGGCTAGGGATTCCAATCAACAAGCAATGACCATTCAAACCTGGGGGATGAACTTGTAAAAATGTATAAAGTGCATTTACAAAATCTTGAATTTTCAAATGTAAAAACTTCACAACTTTAGTCAAAGTTCCTTTTAGGAAACATGGAAAATGCTCTTCTGAGGATTCGAAAGACCCTCATTTGTCGAGTCCCCCAATAACAATTTGCTTCCGACGGCACTGCTTATCACCATCAAAATAATTTGGAATTTAATTCTTCGGAAAGGCAATTCCCTGCATTTCAAGGCAGCAATAGCCTTCAGTACGGGGAACTAGCATGCAAAGAAAGACCGTGAAAATACTGCATTGTGACACGTAAATACTAAGCGGGGAAATATAACCACGTAATAAGTGTAAAATGAGGACATTCAGTGGCGGCGCTAACCCTCTTCGAGTGGGGGGGTGTGAGTGATCTTTTGCCGACTGTTGTTTGGTAATTTTGCCGAGTCATTAGCCTATAGTGAGGGTCCTGAAGGGGGGGGGAGGGTCCCAATCCCATTTTCCACCTGAAATTTTGGCAAAATCCCAGTCCCAGTTGGATTTTTATTAGAAATCCCAGTCCGAGTTATTGAAACCCCAGTCAATAAAAAACCCTTTATTTATCGGTAGAATAAACAGTTTTAAGACCTTTTAAGCCACCGTGTGTGCAAGTGGCGGACATTTTATGAAATATTGGGGGGGAGGCTCGTGCCGAAGGCACGGAAAATTTTTAAATTTGAATCCCGGAAATGGCATTTGCATCATTCTGAGACACGCATAATCAGAAAACCCAAAATTCCTGTCGGCGGCATCCATTTTGCAGCCCTCGAAAAGTCAAAATCTCGGCATTTCTTAAAATCTGTTCCACGTCTTGGAGCACTATTAATCACGCATTTAATTTACGAATCATTGAAATCGGAATATAACTGGAACGTTACCTCCAGCCGGAAAATTCGAAAGTTGGAGCCAAATTTTAACTCCAGACGCGCGAAATTTGATCTTCAAACATCTAACGTATATACTCACAATACACAATACCCGTCAGTTTTTAAACCTTACACCGTAAAAAATTTGCATTGCTGCATGTGTGGTTTCTTTGATGCATGCTATTCGTGATATTCGGTTTGAATTCAATTATTCAGGAGGTCAATTTTGGTTTCTTCAGTGGTTATCTTTAGCCAATCCAGTTTTGCCGACTGGGATAACAATTTGCCGATTAGCTGACGAATGGGGGGTGTTCCACCCCCCACACTCCCCCTGTAGCGCCGCCC